ATTGGCAGGTGGCTCTGCCTCCCGGAATACCACCAATCACCTGTTCCAGGTCGCGGGGATCACCACCCCCCATCGGCCCCGTTATCGCCCATCGCCACTGCCACCTGTTGCCGCCTCCACTTGGCCCATTTTCAGCCTCCAAGCGTCATGTTTTTGGCCCGTTCCAGGTGGCAGGGATATGCAGTGGCGATGGGTGATGACGGTGCCGATGGGTGGTGGTGATCCCTGCAACCTGGAACAGCTGATTGGTGGTATTCCGGGAGGCAGAGCCACCTGCCAATCAGCTGCTCATGCTAAATCAGGCTGTGCTGAAGTTGACCTTGCTGTTTGCTGCAAGGAGGCAAATTGCTGGGAGGCAGATTTTTTTTTCTTGTTTTCCTCCCCAAAAGCTAAGTATGTCTTATAGTCTGAAAAATACGGTAGCTTCTCCATCAGGGACCAACACCAACTGGCAGAACAAGACGTTAAGGCTCTTCCTAAAGGTTAGAAGGGTGGTAGTTGATCTCATCTCCGGTGGCAAGATGTTCCAGATGGGCCATGGCAGAAAAGTCTCTAGACTTCTAGAATTCCCACTAGCTGAATTTCCTTGACTGATGGAGTCTAGTGGGGTGGGTCAATCCCATTGGAGCAAGTTGGTTCCTCAGATACCTTGGACCCATTCCATAAAGAGTTTTAAAGGGGATGACCAATACCAATATTTTTGAATAAGCTGTCCTTCCCATTACATTTATTGCCTATTGCTTTTTTCTCCAACTTTCTCTTATTGTTCATTTTTATATGCATAAACCATGCAAGAGTTGCTTTAAACCACACTTGAATCATAGCAGCCAAGAAAGAGTAATGAGATAACCATATAATTAATTAATTGTCAAATTATGTATTGGGCACTCCTGAGCACATCTGAACTTCCTCAGTAATGACACTTGTCTGTCATATTAGTTGTATTGTATTTTGCCATGCAAATATTAAATTCCGTGTTTTCTAAAAGGTTATTTTTCAATCTACCAGGTATCGAAAACTATTTATCACTGGGTTTTGTCCTTTCAGTTTCAGTGACAGATTTTACTGCAGTGAACAAAACTACATGTACTACAGTAATAAGTCCTCTACTTCTGGAATCCCCCAACAAGTTCTTCTCCCGGGTAAAACAGAGGTTACAGAAAGATTGGTTGCCAAAAGGTAATACTTTTCTTAGGTGATGAGAAGTTTTGCATATATTTTTGTCTTGAAATTCTGTCTTCAATTTTTCTACCTTTATAATTCACTTTGTAATTTTCTTGTAAAACATGGAATATTCTGTTTATAATGACTAAACTTAGATAGCACATTGCCAAATAATTTGCAGTTGCTTTTATTCATTTACTCATCATTTGCCTTTAGTTTTTTTCAAACCTTTGCCCCATATTATTTTGGTATTGATTTTTACCTTATTTCATTTTGATTTATTTCATATTTAACGTTTTGTACCCCTTTTCTTGTTTGTAAGCCACCCAGAGTTGCTTGTAAGTGAGATAGATTGCATATAAGTAAGTAAACAGAAATAGTTTTCAAATAGCATGTGCACCATTCAGCAAGCTCTTTGTTATTGATGCACACACACATTAACACACACACAATAGTTAGCTAGCTAGCTATCTCATCATCGTATCATTTTATTAAGACATAGGTAAAAGAAAAATGTAAAGAAACATTAGGAAGAAAATAAAATAGTTAAACAAAATAGTAAGCAAATTGCAGGTTTTATAATGGTTATAAACAAACTCATTATTACTCCTCCCTCTTGATATTACAGAAATATATTTAACCCCTTATTAAACCGTTTTTCAAATTGCTTTGCTTTGCTTTTTTCTATTATCAGCAAAATCTCTATTAAAAAGTATTTGTGGTTCTGTCCTTTACCAAATAACTTGGTTTTGCCATTTCT